CACTTTATAAATGCATTTAAGTTAGCTAATAATAAGCATTATATATTATAAATATATAAATAATTGATACTTACAGGCTAATATAAAAATTGCATAATTATTTAAATACAAATTTTAATAATCTTTTTTAAAAAATATTAGCAGTATCGTACGTACCAGCTACAAATTCAGTAAGTAAATTGTCCAATTAGAAAACCTTATATGAAGTTATGGTATTTAGATCATATTTACCTACTAAAAATTATACATATTTTTTAATTAGAAAAATATAATAAACCAATTACTAAGACAAGTAAAGCTTTATACTCACGTTCTAGAAAGTATTACATTAATTTAAAAAAAACTCGAAGCATGAGTTAATTATTTAAATCTCTAAATTAATTATGAATTTAATATTTACCGGCTAGTAATTTATAATTATAATTAATTAAGAATATAATAATTGTTTTTGAAATTGATTTAATACTCACATTCTGGAAATTTAGAAGAAAATAACTTTATTAACCGTTTGTTGACAATTAAAACTGATTTAAATTTATACTCACCAACTAATTAATAAATAAGATAATTAAAATTTGTATTTTTTATTTAATAACATTAACTTCAATAATAAGCTAATACAAAATTTTTACTTACTAGCTGATAAAATTTTATTAAAGGCCAGTCATGAAACAATAATATTAAGGTAATAGAAATTTTATGCGAATTTTATTAGATTAATTTATAATAAATCGAATTTAAAATAATTAAAATACTCACATTCTTAAATATAATGAATTGAAACAATTAATTTTTGTTTATAATGTCGCAAATAAGCTATTAATTATACTCACCTGCTAAAATCATAGAGAAATTTTGATTACTAGGATGTTATTTATAGGAATTTTAAATTAAATAAACTAAATCGGATAGCTTACATTTATTGCCATCTGTAATTTGTTTTATAGAAATTTGTTATTTAAGAATAATAATATATACTTTAACTCAGAAGAGGTATAAAGTTATACTTACAGGCTTATAATTTATTATGATAAAAGAGAATTTAATAACGGAGTGCCATGAAATTTGGTACCAAATAATGCTTTTGTACTCACATTCTATCTCTATTGTTTTAATAATTAGAAGTTAGAAAGCCAGGTTAAAAATAATAAATAATTTAATTTTACATTTACCATCTATTAAATAATAGTATAAAAAAACCATTGAATTTTTATATCTACTTTGATATTTAAAATAATATTTACTTACTCGCTAATGATTTATAAGAAAGAGTAAATTATTATAAATATTGTCATCAATAATGAAAATAAAATTTTATACTCACATTCTAGTAATTATCGTATATAAGTGATAAAATATTGTCGATTTTAACATCAAATTGAATTGAAGCTTTAAACTAACCAGCTAGCAATTCAATAGATATATGATTTTATTTAGATGACAGTAGTTGTAGATATGAAAATATTATCTAGCCAAGAAAAACTTTATACTTACGTTCTAGCAATAAAATAATTATTAGATTAAAATGTTTAAGTTCATCAATTTAAAGTAGGAAAAACAACTTTCATAATTACCAACTAAAAATTTATTAAGGGAATATTACTTAATAGCACTTAATGTGAAACTTGAATATTAAAAATGAATAATACTTACTTGCTAATAATATAATTGTAGTTGACTTGATTATAACATTATTATTTAATTATAAGGTGTCATTTTTAATATTTTGTTTATACATACTTTCTATTTATTTAATTTATGTATAATAAATTAATATCACCTTTGAAGAAAAAATTTTATCTTTATACAATTTCGATATAAAATATTGCGCTTACCCCCTACAAAATTAAATGCATCTATTTAATTATAAAGTGATATAACATGAAACTTAGAAGGTGACAATGAAATTTCATACTTACATTCTAATTATGTGCCGTATATTAATTATGAAAGAAATATTTAGAAATATACAAAAAATATCGATCAAAGGTAGATGCTTATTTACCACCTATATTAATGAACAATATATTATTTTAAATATTATCCAAATTAAATAAAAACTTTCTAATCATACATACCCGCTATTAAATTTTATATGAAATAAATTAATTAAATTAATTAACAAGACTATACAAAAAGAAAATCAATTACATATACTCACAATCTTAAAAATAATAGTACATATTATTGGTTAAAACATTTAATTATATAAAATTTCAAAGCTGAAATTATTTTATGCTCACCATCTAATCGTTTGACACAGGTTTAATATTTAATATTAGAAACTTTGATTTGAATTAAAAAAATCTTTATATCTACCCACTAGAATTTTAATACCATAAAAATGAAACATGATGATAAATAAGTCATTTTATATGTGCTTAGATTTGAAAATAAATTTTATACTCACAGCCTGATAAAAAACGAATATGTTTTAGAAATTATCGCTGCATTATTTATATGTAGTTAATTTCTTGAATAATTTACTTACTGTCTAACAAATTAAAACACATGAATATTAATCAGAGAAATATTAAAAGCATTTGCCATAACAAACTTACGCATATACTTACTTCCTGATAATTTATAAATATAAGATAAAAAAATAAATATGCTTTGAGAGCTTAAATAAGTTTTATACCAACCAACTATTGATTCAATAATTAATAATTTAGATGAACGTCTTCATATGGTTTTAAATTTGTTCAGAGTAATTATTATACTTACAATCTGTGCAAAATTGAATTGAACATTGTTTATATTACTTAAACGTTACATTACTATTATTGAATGTCTATTTGAATTAAATCTTTTAACCTACTCGCTAATAACAATTCGATAGATTTTTTATTAGACAAACTACAGTTATAAACTCATCAGACTGTAATATCTACACTCACAATCTATTAATAATTGAAAGGGTTTAAAATATATTTACTACGTAATAAGCATCAGTAAAAAATCAATATATTTTACACTCACATTCTTGAGATTTATTAAAAAAATTTATGAGTTACTGTGAAGAATTGAAACAATGATATAAACGCCTTTATGCTTACCCCCTAGAAATATGCAAATTTGAATTATAAATTTATATTGGCATAAACTAGTAAAATGTACAATATATATACTTACAAGCTAGTTATTAAATGTTATTGTTTGTAAGTGTCATTAAAAAGAATATATATTAAATAAATGAATATCAGTAAACCTTTCCTTTATTAATCTCAGAACTAAATCATTGATTGGTGCACGAGAAGAATAATAGAAAAAGTTCATAGTATTTGATATCTGATCTTGATAATTGTAGCTTATACTAACCACCTAATAATAACAACAGTAATAAAGTTATTTAATGATTTTAATTTACAACAAAATTATAAAGATATTTTACTCACGAACTAAGATTAATCTTTAAGTTAATGGCAATCGCTGTAAAACTTTAATTTCATTAAGTTTAATAGGGCACATGCTTACACTCTAACATTGATACATTAGTTTTTTAATGAATATTGGTTTAATTAAATAGGCGATATCACAATACTTACCATCTAACAATATATAATTTATAATTAATTTGAAGAGAAATGAACTAATACGTATAAACTTTGAAGTAGAATTGCTCACCATCTAAAAATTTAATACATATATTTTTGTCAGAAAAATTGAAAGATATGATGTGTGGCTTTTAGAGATTTTAATATAATGAATGATTATACTAACAAGCTGATAATTTATTGAATGGAGTATTAATAATATAATTCCAGTTTTAACCAAGAAAATAAAATTTTGCTTACACGCTGATTTAAATGAGAAAATATTTTGTCAGAAAATTAAATTTAAAATTAACTTATTTAAAGTAACAGGTATACTCACGAACTTAAAGTTTGATAAAGAAGCTTGTATTATCCACTGACTGCTTATTACAAATTTTAAATCATGCACCAATATACTTATACATACCACCTAAAAATTTGACAAATATCATACTTGATTAATAAGAATTGTTTAAAAATATGCTATCAAAAACTCATATTCTAAAAAAATAATATAATATTACCAGCTTTTAATTTAATAATTAGGTCATTAATAGATTGTTATCAAGTTTCAGTTCCAAATAAATTTTATACTTACGTTCTAGTGATTTGCAATATTTGTTAGAAAATTACAATTATTCTAAAAACTTAATAACTTAATTATAAAATACACACTCACCAACTTCATAAATAAAGGAAATTACGAATTATTAGAGAATTTTAAAAGACACAAATTTAACGGTAAATCCGTACTCACATTCTAATAACCAACGCGTATTTATTCAATTAATATGATGATACTGAAGGCAAATATTACCTTTAAAAGATCTGAACTCACCGACTAAAAATTTAAAAATTATAAATTTTGATTGCTTAAATGCATATCACAGATAATAAAGAACTTTTAAAAGATTACACTTACGAACTGAAATTGCATAAACTTGTTAGATTAGAAGTCGCTAAATAATGAATCGGTGAATATAACTTAACATTTACCTCCTAGTAATTTTAATTAATTTGATCAGTGGAACATTACTTAAATAATTATGAATATTCGATTTAAAATAATATTAAATACTTACTCACTAATTATATTGAACAAGTGAAATTAATTAATTTATTTAAGGGAAAGCATCTTTGTTTAAAATGAACATCACACATACATTCTAAAATTTAATATATAATTATGATATATATGACTTATGATAATTATCATTAAATTCTAAGTAATTATATCTACCACCTATAAATAGTTAATAATTGTTATTAGGATGTCTTAACATGCAAATTTAATTTAAAAAAAATTAATATAATTTACCAGCTATAAATTCGAGTATTAAATGTAATTAGGCAACTGATAATTAAAAAAAAAAACCCAAGAAAAAAAATTACACTTACTTTCTAATAATAAGGAGCATATTAATATTACAAATATAAATTTGAATTGATGAAAAAAACTTTTAATCACCGACTATTAAAATAAATTAATTGAGATAAGTATTGCATTTATTAATAAAAAAAAAAACGAATTTAAAGAAACTTTTATATTTACGCGCTAGAAATTTAATTATAGTTATTTAATAAATAATTATAGTAAAATTCGGATATGATGAATTATTATGACTTTCTTATATTGAAGCAATCCGCTTACTTTCTGTAATTAATAATAATAATAAAAAAAAAGCCACATGAATCTAACGTATAAACATCATTTAATAAACCTAATACATAAAGTACATACTTGTTCTTGGCTTTTTACTTAAAGAATTAATAAGAATTAAAATTTTATTTAGAATCTTACATACGATAAATCACTTGTTGAAACTTACCTTCCGCAATAACTACATTGCTTATCCGAACGATCGTTTTGGATACCACATTCTTCCAATAAAATTTTTGGACAATACCATTGCTTGCCTGCACTTCTATTAATAATCTTTTTATCATCGTCCTTTACCATTGAACCACAACCACTGCATTTATCAGTATTTTTGTTAAGAGTTTCACAAATTTTCCACGAAAATTTGTTGCACACCCAACTCATTTTCTTATCTAGTACGCTATAAGTAGTTTGATTATTAGTATATTCAAAGCCTAAAAGAAAAAAAATTGATGCTCGGATTTCTTCTTATCCGTATTAAAAATTTTTTTCAAAGTAATTTTCGTTGATCGTAATATAAATCGGTACTAACGTTACACGAAGTAGTGTAATAAGGGTTCGGTCAAACATATCGATATTTGGTCCGTATTACGAAACAAAATAAAAAAGCATCAGAAGATTTATATTAAGGAGGTATGCACGTGCGTCGCGTACGTAAACATTGCTTGGCTCACTTCCGATCTACCCAAATAAATAATCTACATAACCTGCAGCCAATTCAAAAAATAAATACCTTTACACCCAAACTCAATGTTGCCACTCGGACAGAATTCGATACTAAACAATTATTAATTAAAGCGTTCATAATAAACTTTTTGCATTGTCTGTCGGATAATACAAAAAAAAAGCCTGCACATCTAAATATACAATCTATTTCTTCAATTTCTTCAACCACAACCACTTCACACTCGATTGAAGTAATGGGTGATATATGAAATGGTTCGACAGTGAATATATTTTGCGAGATGAATTAGGTTTTATTAAGGACAAGCATATTTACTAAACGTTATATTATCAATTCACAGGACCTATAGTTATATACGATATTAAATTTGCACTAATGCCCCTAATAATATTAACCACAAAATCGAGTCACGTGACACGTTGTGTAATTGCATTGTACTTACGCACGTACGCACGTACATATGTACGTAGTATCAATTAAAGAAAATTTTCAGGTATTTGTGTTCATTAATATTTCAAATATTTATGATTGCCATATTGTTATGCCGCGACCTACCATTCGGGAAATTATGTCTTGTTTAACGTAATCCAAAATAAATTTCATTTATGTTCTTCATAAAAACAAAATATATTTGTGACACATTAAATAAATTAAAAAATAAATAAAATTAAAATTTGACGACCGCAACCATAATCGCATGCATGTAGCGTTGAAATTTTTTAAATTAGAGATGGGATCGTGTGTTAGTACATTCGTTACTAATAGTGGAGAAATTGAACTTGAACGCAACATAAAGACAGAAGATGACGAAAATCATACAGAAAGTGAACTAAAAGTATTTAAGTGGTACTTAAAATCTTCTAAAGGCGGTAATGCTCGAGGACAATATAGTGTAGGAGTATGTTATCAAAATGGTATAGGAATTGATAAAGATGATAATAAAGCATTTGAATGGTACATGAAATCAGCTAAAGGTGGAGATCCATGTGGACAATATAATGTCGGAAATTGCTATAAAAATGGTATAGGTGTTGAAAAAAATGATGAAAAAGCATTTAAATGGTATTTGAAATCAGCTGAAGGTGGTTATTTACTTGGAAAAAATAAAGTTGGATTGTGCTATCAAGATGGTATAGGCACTTCCGAAGATGAAAGGAAGGCATTCAAGTGGCATTTAAAATCTGCAGAAAGTGGTGATTCTGAAGGGCAATACAATATCGCATATTGCTATGAAAACTGTATAGGTACCATTAGAGACAATAAAAACGCATTTAAATGGTATCTAAAATCTGCTGAAAACGGAAACCTAAATGCGCAGGTTAATATTGGAGATTACTACAAAGACGGTATAGGTACACGTAAAGATAAGACCAAAGCATTTGAATGGTACTTAAAATGTGCCGAAAGTGAACAATCTGACGGACAATATAAAGTAGGATTGTGCTATGAAAATGGTATAGGAGTTAGTGAAGATAAGATTAAGGCATTTGAATGGCATTTAAAATCTGCCGAGAATGGTAATTCCAATGGTCAATTAAATCTTGGATCATGCTACCAAAATGGCATAGGTACTGATAAAAATGATTATAAAGCATTTGAATGGCACATGAAATCTGCCGAAAATAATAATTCTGATGGTCAACTCAAGGTGGGATTGTATTACCAAAATGGCTTTGTCGTCACTAAAGACATAAATAAAGCATTTGAATGGTTTTTAAAATCGGCTCAAGGCGGAAACGTGAATGGGCAGATTTACACTGGGGATTATTACAAAAACGGTATAGGAGTTACCAAAGATGAAAAGAAAGCATTTAAATGGTACTTAAAGTCGGCTGAAAATGGTGATCCAAATGGTCAATTAATTGTCGGAAATTGTTACAGAAAAGGTGAAGGTGTTTCCAAAAATGAAACGAGGGCATTTGAATGGTACTTAAAATCAGCAAAAGGTAAAAATTCTTATGGACAAGTTAATGTGGGGGAATGTTACCAAAATGGTATAGGCGTCATTAAAGATGAAAAAAAAGCGTTTGAATGGTATATAAAATCTACTCGAAACGGAAATTCATTAGGACAACTTAATGTTGCATATTGTTACGAAAGTGGTATAGGCGTCGCAAAAAATAAAAATAAGGCCTTTAAGTGGTATTTAAAATCTGCCAAAGGTGGAAATTCCCGTGGACAATTTTATGTAGGAACATATTATCATGATGGTAAAGGAATTGGCCGAAATATAAAGGAAGCATTCGAATGGACATTGAAATCAGCTGAAAATGGAGATGTTGAAGGTCAATATTTTATGGGACAGTACTATGATTTGGGAATAGGAAGACGAATATCAAGCATTCAATTGGTATTTGAAATCAGCTCAGGGTGGTAGCCCACAAGGAAAATATAGCATTGGATGGTGTTATTTAGACGGGGTTGGCGTAACGAAAAACGAGCAAAAGGCATTTGAATGGTTCTTAAAGTCAGCAGAGGAAAGTCGGAGAGGGCAATTTTGTGTTGGAATGTGTTATGAAAATGGTATAGGAATTGAACAAGATCAGAATGAGGCATTTAAATGGTACTTAAAATCCGCTGAAAATGAAGATTCTGATGGGCAACACAGAGTCGGAAAGTATTATGATGATGGTAAAATTATTATCAAAAGCGAAAAGGATGCATTCAATTGGTACTTAAAATCAGCTCAAAATGGAAACCCTCGCGGACAATCATTGGTTGGGATGTGTTACGAAAAAGGGAGAGGCACTACTAAAAACGAAGAAAAAGCGTTTAAATGGTACTTAAAGTCGGCTAAAGGAGGTGATATTGACGGACTATATAAAGTTGGAAACAAATACGAATATGGCCTAGGAGTTGCTAAAGACGAGAAAAAAGCATTTGAGTGGTATCTAAAATCTGCAGAAAGCGGTAGTTCTTACGGACAATTCTATATTGGACGTTGCTATCAGAATGGAATAGGCATCTCAAAGGATGAAAAGAAAGCATTTGAATGGTACTTGAAATCAGCAGAAAGTGGAAATATTGATGGTCAACGCCAAGTCGGAAACAATTATAAATATGGTATAGGCACTATTAAAGACGAAGAGAAAGCGTTCGAGTGGTATTTAAAATTAGCAGAAGTAGGTAGTTCTTACGGGCAATTAGAAATTGGAAATTGTTATCAGAATAGTATAGGCGTTTCTAAGGATGAAAAAAAAGCGTTTGAATGGTACTTGAAGTCAGCTGAATGTGGAAACATTGATGGGCAATTCAAAGTCGGAAATATTTATGAATATGGCATAGGGACTGTCAAAGATGAAAAAAAAGCATTTGAATGGTATTTAAAGTCCGCTGAAGGTGGTAATTCTTGTGGCCAATTCATGATTGGAAATTTTTATCAGAATGGAACAGGCATTCCTAAAGATGAGAATAAGGCATTCGAATGGTATTTAAGGTCCGCCGAAGGTGGGGATATAGATGGGCAATTATTTGTCGCAGATTGCTACCTAAATGGTATAAACGTTGTTAAAGATGAAACAAAGGCCTTTAAGTGGTACTTAAAATCTGCTGAAAGTGGAAGTCCACGTGGACAATTTCATGCAGGTGTGTGCTATGATAATGGTATAGGTACTACAAAAGACACAGAGAAAGCACGTGAATGGTACTTTAAATCGGTCAATAGTGTAAATTCCAATAAACAATTTATTATTAAAGATGATGAAAAAGACAAAAATAATGGATTTAATTGGCATTTGAAATCCGTTATGGGTATAAATTCAGGCGAACAATCTAAAGTTAGAGTATGCTATGAATATGGCGTTAGTGTTGATGATAAAAACTAAAAAGAAGTTAGTTAAAAATAAATTTTACATTATGCACTAAAATCAATTATAGAGTTAGATAATATAGCCATAAATTTTGAACTTAGTCCTTAGAATCTTTAATTCTTTAATTTTATTAAACTAATCATTTTATATATTAACATATTGAATTTAATATAATAATTTTTTATATATTAACATATTGCATTTAATATAATTATATATTAACATAATTGCATTATAATAATTATTTGTATAATATTTAAATTTTAGAAGGCATTATAAATGTATAAATAAATGGAAATTCGATGCAGGTCATATGAACTTCTTTTTATGTATGTACAATTGTCGTAATCATAGAAGTTAATAAAAAAAAAATTATAAGTGATTATTATTTTATATTATCCTATAAGTAGCTGCGCGACGCATTCGCGCTAAACCAGGAACGGATGAATAGAAGTCTAATTTAGAATGTTGGATAACTTTGAAACAGAATATTTATATCTAGTAACAATTCAGATACTTAAATACGTATCAGGTACACGATTAATATAGCATAACTATATGCTATAAAACAAAAAATAATTTCATAAGATATTAATTGAATTTGCAAATCGCATATTTTACGATGTCAAATACTGTATAATACAGGGGGGTGACAAAAATATTTCCACACCTAAGGACTTGGCTTATAACTCAAAAACTTACTAATTAACTTATGTCCTTGATTTGACTATAGTAATCCTTACTCCTTGAGGATTATTCCATATCATTTTTAGATCACATGCTTGCATAATTAGCAAGTTATTTAATTTTACTTTTAGGGTTTTGATAAATTCTGTAAGTGTCTGTGTTTCTGTGTAAATATTTCAATAACTATTAGTCTAATCTTAATGAGACTTTAACAACTTATAGAGGAACCTTTTCTCTACCTACTGTAAAAATTTGATTAAATTTTAATCAATAATCAGGCAAGAAATTAATAAAAACAAAAATTTTATAGGTCAACCTTCTAAGCTAATTTTCTCAATGATTATTAGTCTAAAGTTAATAATTTTTATTTTATCTAATAGATATGCACTTCCTCTACAACATAAAAAAAATTTAGCTAAATCTAATTACTAGTTGCAAAGATAAATCAAATAATCTATCACAATATGTCAAAATTTATTCATCATCGTATATCTCGATTATCTCGACAACCAGTTACAGACTTGCTAATTTTTTTTTTTATTTCGTAGAAGAGACATCATACTTTAAAATAAAAAAAGTTTGTTCGATTCTAATTACTAGAAGTCGAGATAATCGAGGTTAAAGTTCGCCATTAAATTGCAGAATTAAACACAGACATTTTTTTATTTTAATTCTAAACTTTTGTATTTTTTTATTTAATTCTTAAGTTTATAGAAATAAAGTAAAATAAAAAATTATTGAAATTGAGTACATTTTGAAACCGTGATATTTATAATTATCAAAAAAATTGCAATAGTTAAGTACCAATCGTACTAATGTACTATTTGTTTTGTCCATACAAGTATAAATTTCGAAATAAATTGTAGATGACCAAAATATAGTTTTAGCCTGCGTATATTTAATCTCTGTCATTTGTTCAACGGTAAAATTCGCAGTGAGTGTTGGATTTCTATGTACACCCTATAATAAAAGGTATAATAAAAGATATTAATACTGATTTCAAACTATATTAAAAAGGTGAAATTCATAATAAAATTTAAAATTTTTTTTTTACATACCAATGTAGTAAGTACCATAAGCATGCCATATGCATGGCCATTTTTCAGATCAGCTTGCATTACAGAACTTCATTTACAAGTTGAGTATAATAGACACAGCCGGTCTGTTCATTAAGAGCACTACCATATTCATAAAAATAATAATCGCCCATATCCCAATAATACCGCAATTTTTTAATATCAAGTTCACTTAGTAATGAGCACCAAGTGTCAGTTCGATTAAAGGTTAAAACTGAGAATTCACAATAATGATATATATATGGTACTAAATACGGATTAAGAGGTGGGTTGATGCCATAATCTTTGGACATACGCTCAGCAATTGGTGCTAAGGTCATATTACCATATGTATAATTTTGTTCATTATATATTGGATTATTAGTGTAAACAGTAGTGTTTAAAAGTAGACAATCTTGATACGGTTCTAAAACATAATCTTGTCTCTATGGAAATATTATAAATGATTAAAAATGCGATAAAAAGAATCAAGGTTTAAATAAATAGTATTTACCACTGGTGTAGATGTAATGTATACTGGCTGATTTTTACAGGGACCCACTATGCCATAACCATCAAATAATCCTTCAGAAAATGACATTGACGACTCACCGCATCTTTAAAGAATTGAAATTTCAAGTAAAAATTCATATAAATTTATTTAGGTATGTATAAAAAATTGTTGTAACTATACCTTGAAAAAGAGCAACCCTGAAAATTTACAACATTAGGATCAAATCTACCGGTTTCTTTTTTAATGGTATCCCAAAATTTCTCATATCTTAAAGCACATTGTTTTCCGTCATAATATGGCTCTAATTCTCCGCGGTGAACCAATTGGAAATTTCTTTCCATGGTAAAAGAATTTTTATACTAAAGTAATGAAGTTCTTTTTTTTTTAAGTAACAATGTTAAATATTAAAATGAAGGTGCTTATTTTCTTACCCATTCTTTTGCAACAGAAACATCTGCAAATATTTTTTTCAACTCATCATACATTAGAATTTCATCTTCATCTGGCAACCTTGATCCTAATTAATAATTTTAAAGATTATTCTATTATTTCGTCAAAAGTTTGCGAATGTGTACGAACAGATAATAATTACCATGTCTAGTAAGTAAATACAATTGTTTTAATTCACATTTATCAGGATAACTTATTGGTTCAACATCAAGAGTAAAAGCTGTTGCCGCTGGTTCGATTCTAAAATAGCGTTTATTGATAAGATCTTGAGAATCATGGTTGTATAATTTTGAATATGCATCATCAGAAGGATTTTTACATAGTGCTAGTTTATAGAAAGAAAATAACAAATGATAAAAGAATATAAAAGGTTGTTAGACTGCATTTTTTTAGAATTCTAAACTACAAAGTTGAAAGAAAAGATCAAAAACGTAGGTTTATATAGATTTGCGAATAACTATGCCCATTATTTGTAAAGCACTGACTAAAGTACCCATCGTCTGCCACGCAACATACATTCCTAATTACGATACATTATAGTGAAAATTTTCATTTTTCAATAAATAAAATGGAACGCATTAGAATTGTCGGTATTAGATATGCATTATCAGTTATCATTCATTAGGATTGCTATGTATGTACGTACGTACGTAATATTCCATGTAGATGCATAAACTCACATCGAAAAGGAAAAGTAATTTCCTAAATTATCGATCTAAATAAGACGAAAGTTTGTAATACTAAAACATAGTAAAACATATTGTCTATATACGGGAACCTGGTCCGATTTTTGAAACCCTTTTTTGTCTTATCCTATCATGTCCAGTGTCCCAACTTTAATTGCTTTCGGCGACTAAATAAAGTGTTTAAAAACTTTGAGCCATTGTTCTGTTTTGGTTTAAATTGACCACATACAACACTAGTCATATAATATTTACATGTAATTTTTTTAAAAAAATCAGGAGATTTTATATGCATACTCCGGATTATTGGGACATAAATTTTTTATATTCGAGGTAAATGCTTCTTTGAATATATTTGCATGTTAAATTCTAAGTAATTTATTTTAGATTTTTGAATTTAATGATTAATATTAATTGGAGCTTATAAAGACAAATATCATTATACAATAATTTAGGCCATTAAATTGCATTTCCTTTAAGGTAAAATGTTAGTCACGTACGTAATTTAAAACAATGAAACGGTTTAGTATATGTAAACATACCCTCTATTGGGCATAAATGTGTATACCTTTCCAGGAGGGTACAATGCTTTTGCATTTACTGTATCTGCATGTTAATTCTAAGTAAATTATTTACATTTTTTAATTTCAATGATTAACAGTTAGTAATAATTAAGGTTAAACAGACAATTATTATAATTAATATAATTAATTCATCATATTTCTTTTACTTTAAGGTTGCGCCATCAGACTTACTATTACTATTACGTTTACGATTTGGCGGTAATACCTAGTGATGTGCCATTTATATGATGTCCAAATTTTTTTAGCGTACAGTACGTATAGTACTTATATAGTAAAGTTGCTTTAGTAGTTATATTTTAAATTTTTTTACTATTAGTATATATTACAATTAATATAATATTTAATCTATTTTAATAAATAAATATTCATTATATCAAATTAGTAATATATGATATTAATAAATGCAGTTTATTATATTAATATTTGTCGGGGATGATGTTGAAATTTCGACCTATTTTATTATGAATTTTAAAAAATTTTCGAGCCTTTTCGTTAGGGGGGCGTTAGGTTAGGGTTTAGGGTTAGTGTTGTTAGTAAAAAAGTAAATGTGAATTTTAGTAGGTATGATAGATTTAAATGGGGATTCTAAATTCCAGTATCAGCCAATTCCAGCATCATCCCCGACAATATTTAATTAAATATTAATTTATTTAAATTATTTTAGAACCAGTGAAAAATCATGTGAATTTCGGTGATTTTAAATAAATTTCGACAATCGATTTCGTACTCAAAAAAACCTCTCTTATGTGCATAATAACTATTGTGAAGGATAAAAATACGAGCATAATGGTAGGTGAAACACTAAAATCGGCCCAGTAAGTAATGAGATATATGCGTATTTGTCCTCATGACTAACAAAATAGTCATAAAGACGAAAATGCCCATATCTCACGATTCACTAGGCCGATTTCGATGTTTCAGCTACCATTATGCTCGTAATTTCCTCCCCTACAACATTTGTTATGCATACAAGAGGTTTTCTTATTATAAAATTGATTTATCTTTAGGGAAACGCCAGATTCCAAAAAAGCAAAATTATATTGTAAACATATCGCTGCAGTTTACTATTTTTTTCACTGGTTGCCGACGGATCACGATAATTAAATTTTTTTTTATTTAATAATATTTATAAAATATAAAATATATAATTTATATAAATATATAATCATTTATGTATATTAAGAAAAAAAAAACTTAATATATTTATCTAACAAAAAAACACGGAATACGTATCTGATATTTGTGTTGATCAAATTAACAAATTTGATTGGTCAATTTGCATATCACTGGGTCCCTCTTAATAAATGATCGGCAAAAATTTTAGCGTACAGTACGTACGTACGTTGTTGTAACCGAGGAGAGGCTTATACCTTCCTGCACAGAATTAGCTCAAGGTTACTAACATAAACTCGAGTTTAAGCAGCTAATAAATGGTAAACGAGTTGAGCGAAGCTATCCTACAATCTCTCTCAACCGTGGGTTGTTTTGTGTGTTCGTGGGTAAGTTTATATGTACAGTCATATTTAAGGTTGTCGATCTATCCAAAGTCATGAATTATTATGGTCGAAATCCTAATAATGAGTTCGGATCGGCACTATACTCAGTTTAGGTATAACAAGTTTTTAAGGTTAGATCGAGGTTATTGTTTCTTTTTATACAATGAGATAGGAATTATGTATTTATGGAATGTATTTTTAGGTTGATGCAGAAAGTGTAATTGTTCTTTATTAGTTTTAGCATCGTATTTATACATTTTTAAATCCTGGGGGTCCGAGACCCAGATCTGGGGTTTCAGACCCTTATCGAGGGTTTCAGACCCATATTGAGGGTTTCAAACCCTTATCCATGGTCTCAGACCACCACACAGGGTTCGAGACCCAGTCCTGCAGTTCGGGACCCTTGTATACTTATATTGTTTATACAAAAAGAAATGCAACCATACAATTGTTCGAAAAGGAACATTATCTAGCACATAATAGACTAAAGAAGAAATTATACTAATTATTCTCGTAACAACGTACATATATACAATGTTTATTTTACATAAATAATGTTACCATATTTAGTTAAGTAAGCCATAATATGGTCATTTTTGTCAATCTGCGACATCTTGTGATTTGTGATTTATACCATAGTAAATGGTTTATACGGGCGTTTTACCAAAATTAAAAGGATTAATTATCGTTTCTCCAAAGATTGTATCTCTGTTACTTTTATAGTATTTCGTGAAATGATTTATTTTTAATCATCCTATCTTGCTCACACGAAGCTCGAAACATTTATTCGAAGAAAATATTACTTTTATTAGTTATTACTCTTTAAAAGATAAAAGTACATAATACTATTATCATTCTATACTTTGACATTATCAGAATCGCTACTAATAAATGTGGTGGAACACTTGTTAACTTGTTTTAAAATGTTTATATGAAAGTTAAGTTTCCGAAAAATCATTGACAAAATTTCAGGTGGCCTTGATTATAAGAATTTCGGTAAAGTTACTTTGGATAAAAGTTTTCTATTGTGGAGAGATAACTAGTACTTATTTGGCAAGCCGAATCATAGTAAGTTGTCGGATAAATGATTTACAAGTTACACCCCCTTCGAAAATAGTTCAGAAATTTTAAGTAAATCTACGTTTGGCCTATGAGTAGTTGTGTTTTGACCACTCTCTTCATTACAGTTTCTTCCTGTTCATTATTGCTTTTGCACCATGATTGTATGAATGAAATTATTTTTAAAAAGTCTCTTTTAAATTTCTTTTGCTTTTATTAAAATTTGTAATTGAGATAAATTACGTATTTATTTAATTTTGAAGAATTACGTTTACTGTAATTAAGTTTAAAATTACACATTATCTATGCATCATTACAAAAATTATTAATGCAAATTATTAGTCATTTTAAACTTTAATAATTAAATCACAAGTAATTTGCGAGATAAAATTTTATGAATCGAAACATGATAATTTTGAATTATTCGAGTTACGAATTGACGAGCCCAGTCATTAGCCAGTATTGTATTTATTCAAATGTAAAAGATTATGTTAAATTATTATTATATATACAGCCCTTAAAACCGGTTAATCTAAACTCAAATTTTGCATAAATCAAAATCTCAAAAACAGGAGGAA